CCCCACGACCAGACCCAAAAAAAACAAAAAACAAAACAAAAACCAACCAATCCAAAACATATGTATACTTTCTGGTCATGGGACTTGAACTCTGGGCCTGGACACTGTCTTTCAGCTCTTCAGCTCAAGGCTAGCACTCTACCACTTGAGCCACAGCACCACTTCAGACTTTTTCTGCTTATGTGGTGCTGAGGAATCAAATCCAGGCCCTCATGCATGCAAGGCAAGCACTCTACCACTAAGCCACCTTCCCAGGCCCCGCCAAAATATTTTTATAATGGTTACACTGGACTCCAAGAGAAGAATGAGATCAAGGGCTAAGGACTTTTAGCATACAAGGAACTAAGAACCAAGCTAGATGCATGTGGCTCAAGCCTGTAATCTTAGCTATTCCAGATGCTGAGATCTGAGATTACAGTTTGAAGCCATTACGAGCAGAAAAATTTAATCGACTCTTATCACCAATTACTCTACAAAAAGCTGGAAGTGGAGCTATGGCTCAAGGGGTAGAGCTCTCGCCTTGAGCAAAAAAAGCCAAGTGAGAGTGAGAAACCCTGAGTTCAAGCCCCATTACTGACACACACACAAAAGAAAAGAAACTAAGAACCAAAGGAAATAATTTGAATATACGTCTCCAAAGAAAGTAACCAGATGACAAACTGAAATGATATTCAACATCACTAATCAAATCAAAACCACAGAATCAAATACTATTTTATAGACACTATCAAGGCTGTACTATAAAAAACAACTAGTTTTGGCAATAATGTAAAAAAAAAAGGAATCTGAATATATTACTGGTGAAACTATAAAAGGGTACATTTACTTTGAAGTACAGTTTCAAAATTGGTCAAAAGGTTATTTTGCTGGGTGTTGGTGGCTCACACCTATAATCCTACTACTTAGGAGGCTGACATCTGAGGGTCAAGGTACAAAGCCACTCCATGCAAATTAATCAGAGAGACGCTTATCTCCAGTTAACCAGCAATAAGCCAGGAGCTATGGCTCACGAGATAGAGCTCTAGCCTTGAGCAAAAAAGCCAAGTGACAGTGTGGGGACTTGAATTCAAACTCCAGTACCAGCATACATACAAAAAAAGGTTATTTTATTTTCTTTAGTCATTTCACTATTATTATTATTAGTGCATGTGTATGTCCTGACGCTTGAACTCAGGGCTTGGGCACTATCCTTGTGTTTCTCTCCTAAGAGCTATTATTATTATTATTAGTGTGTGTGTATGTCCTGATGCTTGAACTCAGGGCTTGGGCACTATCCTTGTGTTCCTCTCCTAAGAGTATCCTCTCATGTGTAAATGCCTAGAATCCTGTGTAATTTATCATGTCCCCATGTAAAATACATACTAGACCTAAAATAGGTCTAGTTTGCACATATGAGAGAAAACATGGGCTATTTGTCTCTCTGAGTTTGGCTTATGATTTGTTCTAGGTCCATCCATTTCCCTGCAAATGACATATTATTCTAGTTCTCAGCCTGAGTTTTTGCAAGTTATTCTAGGTAGGTCTTATTTTTAACCCAGAAAATGGAAATGAGGTTTTTCTTTGTTGCCATTTTTGTTTTCTTTTTGTCTTGTTTATCTGTCTTTGGGAGGGTAAGGGGAACACAGAAATGTAGGGATGAAAGGTGAACAAATGCAGCAGTGGTAATCACTAGACATTACATTGAAAATGAACTATACAATTTGTGGGTGGGGATGGGAGGGAAAAGCTGGGAAGAGCAAGGAAGAGGTGACTGTCCAAAAAATAATATTCTCTTTACCTGACTTATGTAACTGTAGCCCCTTTGTACATCACTTTTATCAACAATAAGAATTTAAAAATAAATAAATTAGATCTTAGGTTAAGAAAAAAACCCAAAACAATAAAAATGAACGAACAAAAAAAGTCTTATTTTTCTTCTAAGGATGTCTTCAAACCACTATCCTCTGGATGTTAGCCTCTTGAATAGCTAGAATTATAAGCATGAATGCTCAGTTTCAGTTTCCAACTCTCAACACACACCTTCAGGTTACCTCTAGAGTTGTACTGGACAATATAATTCCTTACCACTGCGTGGACGGCTTTTCCTGAGCCTGTAACAGTCAAGGCAGACTCCAAATCCACATTTGCGGCAAACCCAGTGGATATTGAAGAGAGTTGTTTCACATACATCACACATTTCCCGAACACCTCGCACAGCTCGCTTCCATGCCACTTTCTCTGGTGGACGAAGAAGAGGTGTTGACTATATAACAAAAGACCCCAGATCTACTGACCCACCACCCATTTTGTCTAGCAATAAAATTGAAAGCTTCACAAAGTTTGTTTCTATCATAATAGTTACAAAATGCAAGGAATTTATAGCATTTTGAAAGCTTCAGATAAGATAACCTAAGGTCTATAGGAAATTATTCCTTCACTTTGTCACTTAAGATAACTGTAAAGTACTAGGGCTAGAGAGAGGCAGAAGGATCATCAATTCAAAGCAAGCCTGGACTATATACATAGCCATACTTGGTCTCAAAAGCAAACAAACTATAACATAAAATTTTCAATTGTGGAGAGCTTGAAATAAGAAGGTTCTTTTTTTGTAAATTTAGGGCACAATTTCAAAGTATGATTTTCCCTGATCTAAAAGTAGAGTACAGTATCTCATAGACTTAGAATAATATATCTGTAATAAAGTGGGTTGTATAGGAGAAACGTGGCACTAAAGTAGCACCACATCTATTAACAAACTATAGTATATTGTTTACTAATAGGAATTTGTTCAAAATAAACTATTCAAGGTGAATCAAACCCAAATGGGAATCTAAATATATCTTTTTTTTTTTTGTCGGTCATGGGGCCTGAACTCGGGGCCTGGGTGCCATCCCTCAGTTCTTCAGCTCAAGGCTAGAGCTCTACCACTTGAATCATAGCGCCACTTCCAGCTTTTTCTGCTTATGTGGTGCTGAGGAATCAAATCCAGGGCCTCATGCAGGCAAGGCAAGCGCTCTACCACTGAGCCACCTTCCCAGCCCAGGATTTAAATATATCTTATTGGAATGTGACAAAAATGAAGTGGAAGCAGAAACAGAGTTTTTGGCTTGTTAATTGTCAAAGACTGAAACAATGAGGTCTGGTGAATACAGTTAAGACATTAATTATAGGCTGCTACAAAAATAAGTTGATGGATCTTAACTTACATAGAAAATGCTAACCTCCACTCATACCAATCCCCCTTTAAATGAAAGAAAATAGCAATGTCCAACTAGAAATGTCTGGAAGATAAACAGGGTGTCTTACGATGTGGTTCTACCATCATCATGGCCTCCTTCTCGGACATCACAAGCTGACAGAACTGGTCCCCAACATTGGCAAGGATGTATTTTGAGGTTTCTAGGTCTATCCCTTCTGCTAGGGAAGAAGAGGGAATCCACAGGTTCATAGCATCAGGGTCACTTTGCTGAGGGCTTAGAAACCCCTCTACACGAAGTACCCCTTTTCGGGTGAAGATCAACCTGAGATAGGAAAATAGATAAGTCAAATACAGTTGTCTCTTGGGATATGATGGGGAATGGTATTAGGCTGCACTTCCCAGCCCCAGCTACCCAAACCTGTGGTTACTGAAGACCCTCATAAAATGATACAGTACTTTTATGTTATATACAAATACATATATATATATATATAGAGAGAGAGAGAGAGATGGACATCCTAACATATATTCTAAGTCATCTTGAGGTTATGTATAACACCTGACACAATGTGAATGCTAAGTAAACAACTGTTATACTGTATTTTTAAAGAAATAATGACAAAAATATCTGAGTGATCAGTCCATTTTAAGTCTAAATATACTTTCAATCTATGGTTGGTGAAATCTGTGGATGTGGAAATAGCAGATATGGGGGTCCAACTGTATGTATCCTACTTAAAACATAGTAAGTCCCAATTCTTTAAAAAGCTGTTACCAGAGTTATCAGTTTCTCCATTTACCTGTTCTATACCTATGCTCAGCCAAAGAATGTGACTAGAGCCAGACACTGGTGGCTCACGCCTATAATCCTAGCTACTCAGGAGGCTGAGAGCTGAAGATCACAGTTCAAAGCCAGCTGGGGTAGGAAAGTCCATGAGACTCTCAGCTCCAATAAACCACTCAGAAAACCAGAAGTGGGGCTGTAGCTCAAGTGGCAGAGCACTGGCCTTGAGCTGAAGAGCTGAGGGACAGCGCCCAGGCCCAGAGTTCAAACCCCACGACCGACCAAAAAAGAAAGAGAAAAAGAAAAAGAATGTGACTAGAAAAAAAGTCACCCTGAACATCATTCTTTCTTTCTTTTTTTTTTTTTTGTCAGTCCTGGGGCTTGAACTCAGGTTCTGGGCACTGTCCCTGAGCTTCCTTTGCTCAAGGCTAGCACTCTACCACTGGAGACACAGTGGCACTTGTGGCCTTTTCTGTTTATGAGGTACTGAGGAATTGAACCTAGGGCTTCATGCAGGCAAGCACTCTACCACTAAGCCACATTTCCAGCCCGATGTCATACTTTTCTATCATTGGTGGGCCCTAATATATTATCTAGTAGACTTGGGAACCAGTAGCTTACACTTGTAAGTCTAGTTACTGAGGAGGCTAAGATCTGAAGACCCAAGCTCAAAGCCAGCTTGGGTAGAAAGTTTTCTAGACTCTTATTTATTTTTTACGGTCGTGGGGCTTAAACTCTGGGCCTGGGCACTGTCCCTGAGCTCTTCAGCTCAAGGAGAGTGCTTTATCACTTGAGCCCAGCACCACTTCTGGCCTTTACTGCTTCTTTTTTTCTTTTGGGGGAGGGCGGGGGGTTCTGGTCGTAGGCCTGAACTCTGGGCCTGGGCTCTGTCCCTCACCTCTTCACCTCAAGGCTTGTGCTCTACCACTTGAGCCACAGCACCACTTCCAGCTTTTTTTTCCTGCTTATGTGGTGCTAAGGAATAGAAGCCACAGCCTCAGGCCTCAAGCATGAGAGGCAAGCACTCTACCACTGAGCCACTTTCTGAGCCCCAAGTTCTCTACACTCTTATCCAATTAACTAGCATAAATCTGGAAGTAGAAGGATGGCTCAATCAGTAGAGCACCAGCCATGAGTGAAAAAAGCTAAGAGCTCAAGGCCCTTAATCACCAGTACTGATGATGCACATGCACAAAAAAAATTGTCTAGTAGTCATGATATAGTTTCCTAGTATACTCCCTCTCTCAGATGGCAGTTTCATGTCTTGCTTCTTTCCACACTTCCAATATAATCTTCCCTAGAAAGAATTTATTTCCTATTTCATTGAGTGTGTAGGAGGTAAAAGTAGAAGCTCACATTACCACACTGCCACACATTCCTGCCAATGGGCTCATTTCCCATCTAATCTGCTACATTGATAAGGTCCCAGTGAAGGCCAATATCTTTACATATGTCTTATTTCTTTTCCCCACTCCAAAGACATCTTGTTACTAATTCTGTTCTCTCTAAGATTTTTTTGTTGGTCATAGGGCTTGAACTCTGGTGCTGTTCCTCAGCTCTTCAGCTCAAAGCTAGTGCTCTACTATTTGAGCCACAGCATCACTTCCAGTTTTCTGGTGTTTATTGGAGAAACAGAGCCTCATGGACTTTTCTGCCCAGGCTGGCTTTGAACCGTGATCCTTAGATCTCAGCCTCCTGAGTAGCTAGGATTACAGAGTGAGCTACCAGCACCCAGCTCTGTTCTCTTTTTGATATTGTTTTTTATTCTCTCTCTATCCCCCTTCTTCCTTCCTTCCCTTTGTCCCTTCCTTTCTATTGTATGAGTGTGGGCACATATGTGTGTTGATTCTGGGGCTTGAATTCAGGGCCTCATATTCCCACTTAGCTTTTTCATTCATGGCTGGTGCTCTACCACTTGAGTCATGCCTCTACAGCACACATTATTTTATTTCCCCCAAAATCAGCATTCAGGAGGCTGAGATTTGAGGATGGCAGGCCATGCATTCAAGCGCTAGGATGGGCACCAAAACGAAAAAAAAAAAGGAGTTCTAGCCGGGCATCAGTGGCTCACACCTGTAATCCTAGCTACTCAGGAGGCTGAGATCTGAGGATCATGGTTCAAAACCAGCGTGGGCAGGAAAATCCATGACACTCTTTATCTCCAATAAACCACTAGAAAACCAGAAGTGGCGCTGTGGCACTGTGGCTCAAGCGGTAGAGTACTTGCCTTGAGCTAAAGAGTGGAGGGACAGCACCTAAGCCCAGAGTTCAAGCCCCACGAACAACAACAAAAACAAAAGGAATTCTGCTATACCATTGGTTTTTAATGAAACCCAACATAGGAACTCAGGGAAAAGCACAGAGCTACAGCTAAAACTAACTTTGATCAACTTCAATTCATTCCAACTTAGTGAGTAATATGACAGAGCCTCTGTACAGACCCTGAAAGCAAAATGGTAATGAAAGCAAGGAAGAAAACACGTTTATAAACCCAAAGAAAGAGTGAGTACTTTCAATCATGAATACTGGGAATGAGGGCAGAAGAAAGAAATTTGGGCACCTCCGAAAGTGAAAGAAGCGGCAGGCTACAGTAGAATCATCTTGTTCTTGTTCCTTAAACTTCCGATACCGCTCCAGGCGGCACTCCCGACATTTGTGCAGATGAGGTGCCACATTGATGCATGATCCATCTTGAAGGAAGGGCTCTCCAGACTGCTTCAGCTTCTTCACTTTGCTTACATCTTTCAGCACTGATTGGCCAACTGTAATGAAGGAGAGAAGAAAAAGCTTTCATGATTTAGACATGAACTACTCTTTGTACCCAAAAAAAGTGAAGGGAACAGAAAGCATTCAACTGTAAACAAAGAACCTGTGAAAATCACGTAAGCGTGAAAAATTCAAGCAGGGGAAGGTGGCCATCATCTGCATCTAGTCCTTCAGGATATCACTATTTCTTAATCAAGGCCTCTTGGGCTCCCAAAGGATATCAATTCTTCACTGAAACAGCTACTTTTGCCACTAGACTTTGTTTTACCCACTTCTGGAACATAACCTACTATCAAAAATAAATGGATTTTGGTAGGTGTTAAAATTCTTATGTATGCGTTGAAGAAGAGCAAATTGAGAGGATTCAAGTCTACAAAGTATTTCTATGTGGGAATGAACATCTTTTAGAAACAGGGGCTTGCTATATAGCCCAGAGGGGCCTTAAATTTGCTTTATGTAGTCATTGCTGACCTTGAATTCATGATCTTCCTATTTCAGTCTCTTAATTGCTGGGATTACAAACATGTCATCAGCCCAGTTCTTAGTAACTCCCAGAAGTAAATTTAAAGATGAGCTAAAGTAGCTGGGTGCTGTTGGCTCATGCCTATAATCCTAACTACTAAAGAGGCTGAGATCTGAGGATCATAGTCTGAAATCAATCAGGGCAGATAAATCCTTAACTCCAATTAACCAGCAAAAAACTGGTACTGGAGGCAATGGCTCAAACAGTAGAGTGCCAGCCATGAATGAAAAACAAGTAAGAGCATGAAGCCCTAAGTCCAGGCCCCAGTACCAGGAGAATGAGAGAAGGGGTGAGGATAGAGGTGGGGGGAAAGAGGGGAGAGGGAGGAGGGAGGGAGGGAGAGAGAGAGAGAGAGAGAAAGAGAGAGTGTATTCATGAGACTCTTTTTTTTTTTGGGGTCCAGTCATGGGGCCTGAACTCTGGGCCTGGGCGCTGTCACTCAGCTCTTCAGCTCAAAGCTAGCACTCTACCACTTGAGCCACAGCACCACTTCTGGCTTTTTTCTTTTTGCTTATGTGGTGCTGAGGAATCGAACCCAGGGCCTCAAGCATGCAAGGCAAGCACTCTACCACTGAGCCACCTTCCCAGCCCCTTCATGAGACTCTTATCTCCAATTAATCAATTAATCACAGAAAAAGCTGGAAGTGGCACTGTGGCTCAAGTGGTAGTGCACTAGCCTTGAGCACAAAGAGGCTCAGGGACAGTGCCCAGAGTTCAAGACCCAGGAAAGAAAGAAAGAAAGAAAGAAAGAAAGAAAGAAAGAAAGAAAGAAAGAAGGAAGGGAAGGAAGGAAAGAGAGAGGCTAAAGAAGATAAAAAATACAAGGACATAATTCCAAACTAAAAATAACTGATGAAGATCAAGAATCTTCTTGTGTGGACAGATAACCCTGTTATTATACTGGTATAGATACAACCCTGTCCTGAATGAGGTCTGATGAGGGGCCTCTGCAGGTTCTTTTGGCTTTAATTCTATGAAATTATAGAATTTTCTATCAAAGTGAGGGCCCCTGCTATAAACACTGGCGGACACTGACAGAGCAAAGCCATGTATAATACCAACAGGATCACCTTTTAAGGGAGCAGTCCGAGGACGGCCCTTCGGAGCCTGCTTCCCTTTGCCCTTGCCCAGCAACAGCTCAGCACTGCGCTCCCCATTGGGGCCCAACTTTCCCATCAGGTGCTCTGGAATCCCCTTTAGGCCAGTTTTGGCCTGAATCTGTTCCTCTGAGTCACTCAAATCTGACAGGTCACTGTTGGTGCTGGAGTCCGAGTCCTGTCTACAAGCCAAGCTTCGCTCATCCAGTGAGAACCTTTTCACAGCTTCAAAAGGAGCTTTGTTCTCCTGTGAAAAATCTGCTGGGGAGGACAGAAAGCCGCCGGAGTGCCTGCCAAAGATGGTACTAAAGGTTTTGAGGAGGGGATTGTCCTGCTGCCCAGGCCCCACAGTTGGCCTCTCTTCTGTGGGGCTGGAGGAGAGAGTAGGCATCTCAATGGGCTGGGTGAGGTTGCTGGTGGGTGAACTGGAGCGGCCATTCCCCATGACAGAGAGGCTTGGACCCCCAGTGGTAATTGCTGAGCCCAGAACACCAGATACCAACTTGGAGGAGTCAGTTGTAATGAAGAGAGTTTTCTTCTTTGTTAAAGATGTGGAATCTGCAGAGGAATGAGACTCTGGCCAGCTGGGTGGTGCCTTGGAGGTGACAGTGGTAGCAGAAGAACTCCCTGATGCCTGAGACGCAAAGCTGCTAAAAGGGCTATGTTCAACTTTTTCCACAAATGCCAGGAAAGGATTAGAAGGTTCTTCTCGGGACAGTTTGGGTGGCTGTAAAAATAGATTTTCATGATTTTCTGGGGTGCGGGTGGTTTGGAGACTCCGTGGGAAGGCTGGAGTGAGAGTGGGCATGGACTCTGCAGGCACTTTTCGGTCTACAGAGCTGCCAGCTTTACAGCCTGCCTTAGTGTCTGCTCCAACAGCAGATCTACCTTTACACAGGCCTGAGCTCAAGCTTTCAAGGCTTTGTTTGAATGAATCCCGGCTAGAGGAATCATCAGCCATACTCTCTGAAACCGTAGTGAAGTAGTTACTGGTGGGTAAAGTTTGGGACATACATTGAAAAAACAAGTTTTTGGAGAGATCAGAGTCTTTCTGAGACTCTGGTACAGAAGAGCTACAGCCAAAAGAAAAGCCCAAGGGTTTATTCTCTGTGGCTATAACTCCATTAGACTGACTCCTTCCACTTCCAAAAGTCAATGGTTGTGACAAACTCGGAAGAGATGCTCCAAATCCAGAAGAGGCCAGAATAGAATTTCTTGAATTCTGAAAGGAAAATTAGCCTGCATTAGTATGGCTGGCTTTCACCACAATCTAATTAATGATGGCTTGTTTTGTTTTTGTTTTTTTTTTTGGGTCCGGTTGTGAGGCCTGAACTCTGGGCCTGGGCGCTGTCCCTCAGCTCTTCAGCTCAAGGATAGCGCACTACCACTTGAGCCACAGCGCCTCTTCCGGCTTTTTCTATTATGTGGTGCTAGGGAATCGAACCCAGGGCCTCATGCATGCAAGGCAAGCGCTCTACCACTGAGCCACCTTCCCAGCCCATTGATGGCTTGTTTTGTCCTAGCTATGACTAGAACTAGATCAATATTTCTAGTAGAATGTTGAGTCAATTAACTTCTAAAATTCTACCAATCTTATCACTAGATTTCCAGCAATGATGAAAAAGAAACATGCCAAGGACCATAGAAGGCATCTTTGCTTAAGCAAGGTGAGCCAGAGAAAGCAGAATGTCTGTCAACCTACCAGTCCCTTTGTTCTTACCCAGCTGGTTGGCATTGCTAGGAAGCTATATAAGCTTCTTAATATATATCTACAGTATTTGGAAGGAGAGAAACTTCACTAAGAAACTAGGGAAAAGTGTTAGTGAACAAACTCTTACTTTGACCCCTATAACATCAATCAACCTCAAATGACTGTAAGTTTTTTATTTACTTAAGATATTGCAAATAGCCCAACTGGAGTGACTTAACTCCTATGACGAGCCCATTGTAAGTTATAGCAAAGTATTTTCTTTATTATTCTGAAATTCTTTAAGATGAATCCTTTTGAAAATTGGCCATTTACTTATGGGTTCAAGTCAACCTAAAAGCTGAACAGCTGTTTCAATTAACATTATACCTAAATTTACTTAGACCTTTTGTTATAATTAGGCTCTAACAAGGCTCCAAAAAGAAAAAGGTACATGCTGAAATATTTACCAAACAAAAACATTTCACATGGGGCTGGGAAGGTGGCTCAGTGGTAGAGCGCTTGCCTTGCATGCTTGAGGCCCTGGGTTTCGATTCCTAAGCACTACATAAGCAAAAAAGAACAAAGCTGGAAGTGGTGTTGTGGCTCAAGTGGTAGAGTGCTAGCCTTGAGCTGAAGAGCTGAGGGACAGAGCCCAGCCCCAGAGTTCAGGCCCCATGACCGGACCCAAAACAACAACAACAACAAAAAAAAACCACTTCACATAACTGGAGAATGAAAACACTAAAACTTTTATTTTTTCCTGGTGTGTGTGGGATACTTTCATATCTACTATGTACCATACATGTAGACAGAAACATTCATAAGTAGCTAGACACTCCTAGAACTGATTCAGTTGAATAAAACTCATATCCTAGCATTAGACTTGCAAACCACATTATATTAAAAAATAAACTTTAAAGCCAGGAACCAGTAGGCTCCCTTGTGTAATTCTAGCTACTCAAGAGGCTGAGACCTGAGGATTAAAGCTCAAGCCAGCTCAGGCAGGAAAGTCTGTGAGACTTATTTGTCCTATTAGCCACCAAAAAAGCAAAAAGTGGAGCTGTGGTTCAAGTGGTAGAGCCCTTGAGAAAAAAAAGAAAAAAGCTAAGGATAGCACCTAGGCCCTGAGTTCAAACCCCAGGACTGTCACCAAAAGAAAAGAATTCTAAGTAGTAGAGGATGGCTCATGGTTGTAATCCTCGTTATTCAAGGAGGCTGAGATATGTGAATCTGTGAAGCATGGTTCAAAGCCAGCCCCTTCAGATTCCTAAATGGAGTTATGGCTCAAGTGGTACAGAGCTAGACTTGAACACAAAGCTAAGGGACAGTACCTAGGCCCTGAGGTCAAACAATAGAAATAAACATTATTCCCTCATTGATTAGTGGATATAAAATTTTCTTTGGGGGTGAGTATAAGGAACTATTTTGAATTCCCGGATTTTGGCACCAAACGTAAAGAAAATTTCTGGAGCTTGACAATGGTGAGTTTCATAACATGAATATACTAAACACTACAAAGTTATATTTTAATTTGTTACAAATGTAAATTTCCCTGAGAGTGGCAAGAAAGATAAAAAGCAAGGAATTCAATGGTTCATGCCTGTAATCCTAGCTACTCAGAAGGCTGAGATCTGAGGATTGAGGTTTGAAACCAGCCCGGACAGGAAAGTCTGTGAGACTCTGATCTCCAATTAACCACCAAAAGGCCAGAGGTGAGGCTGTGGCTCAAGTGGTAGAATACCACTTCAGGGACAGCACCCAGGCCCTGAATTCAAGCACTAGTACCAGCACCAAAAATAAATAGATAGATAAATAAATAAATAAATAGGGCTGGGAAGGTGGCTCAGTGGTAGAGCGCTTGCCTTGCATGTCTGAGGCCCTGCTTGCCTTGCATGCCTGAGGCCCTGGGTTCGATTCCCCAGCATTACATAAGCAAGAAGAAAAAAACTGGAAGTGGCACTATGGCTCAAGTGGTAGAGCACTAGTCTTGAGCTGAAGAGCTGAGGGACAGCGCCCAGGCCCAGAGTTCAGGTCCCACGACTGACCGACTGACCGGACTAAAAAATAAATAAATAAATAAATAAAATAAAAAGAAACAAACAAACAAGCCCAGCACTGGTGGCTCATGCCTATAATCCTAGCTATTCAGGAGGGTTGAGATCTGAAGATTGCTGTTCGAAGCTAGCCCCACAGAAAAGTCTGTGAAACTCTTATTTCCAATAAACTACTCAGAAAAAGCCAGAAGTGACAATATGGCTCAAGTAGTAGAGCTCTATTATGGAACAAAAAGAAGCTCAGAGACAGTGTCCAGTGCAAGCCCTAGGACTTGCCCCCCCCCCAAAAAAAAAGAAAAAGAAACAGACAAAAAAGGAAGGTCAGGAATCTCCTCCATTTCACATTTGCTAAAGAGACTGCTTCCAGGATTAAAGTTTTATCTGGGAGTTGTCAAAGGAAGGGATGACACTATCCCAAAAGAAAAGTACTTATGGGCTGGAAAGGTGGCTCAGTGGTAGAGCACTAGCCTTGCATGTCTGAGGCCCTGAGTTCGATTCCTTAGCACCATATAAGCAAAAAGAAAAAAGCCGGAAGTGGCACTGTGGCTCAAGTGGTAGAACGCTAGCCTTGAGCTGAAGAGCTGAGGGACAGTGCCCAAGCCTAGAGTTCGGGCCAAACGAATGGGGCCCCCCCCCCAAAAAAAGTACTTATTACCTGACTTATGAAACTGTAACCACTCTGTATATCACCTTTACAATAACAATTTAAAAAAATTTTTAAAACGATTGAAAATTTGTCTTTCTGTTAACCAAACAAGTATTGACTGAAACCCTTTCCTCAGGAAGGAAAATGGTTTAATAAAACCTTGAGATTTAATTGTTATTTCATAAGCACTACTGGCCATGAGCCTTGACACCTGCATGACTGAATGAAACCCTGTGTATAAACAGATCACGTTTCTCTACCAAAGTTACCATTAAACACACACACACACACACACACACACACACACACACGAATGGAAAGTAATTTGGATGGTCTTTCACTTTTGCTTATATGCTTAAACTCTAAGTCTTTTGCTTACAACAAACCGATGGCACACTGATTTCAGCTCAGTTCTTAGGCTAAGAAATTTCTTGGTAGCTGTTTCTCTAGATTAAACACTGTAATAATGTTTACCTTTAAATCATCCTAGAAAACAGGCGCAGGCATTTAAAAAGAAAATGGCTTGATAGTCACACAAATTTCTCTAATTCATATGAAGAATTTCTCATTTGATCCATATTTCATCTATTCAGATTTGCTACTTTAAGAATAGAAGCATTCCCTGGATCTCTTCTTTGTGTGATGAAAAATTTGGTGTTTTATAGGCCCATTTACATTCACAACCTTTGACCAGGAGTAGATTTTAAATAACTCTGGAATTATGATGCTTATACACATTGTAAATTTTATTTATTTATTTATTTATTTGGTCATTGGGCTTGAACTCTGGGCCTGGGCACTGTCCCTCAACTCTTCACCTCAGAGCTTAGCATTCTACCACTTGAGTCACAGAACCATTTCCGGTTTTCTGAGTGATTTATTGGAGATGAGTCTCATGGACTTTCCTGCCCAGACTAGCTTTGAACTGTGATCCTCAGATCTCAACCTCCTGAGTAGCTAGGATTACAGGTGTGAGCCACTGGGCACCTGGCTTTACACATTGTAATTTTTTCTTTTTTTCCAGTCGTGGGTCTTGAACTCTGAGCTTGGCCACTATCCCTGCACTCTTCAGCTCAAGGCAAAAGCTCTACTGCTTGAGCCACAGCCCCACTTCCGGTTTTCTAGTGATTTACTGGAGATAAGAGTCTCACGGACTTTTCTGCCCTGGCTGGCTTTGAACCGTGATCCTCAGATCTCAGCCTCTAGGATTACAGGTGTGAGCCACCGGTGCCCAGCTTACACATTGAAATTTACATAATATCTTTACCTGGTTCTTTTGTGAATGCTAGTCAAACTGTGAACAGTATGAAATTTATATTTACAGGCCTTTTCTTTGGGGCCTAAGTGCTGTCCCTTAGCTCCTTTTGTGCAAGCCTAGCACTCTACCACCTGAGCCACAGTGCCACTTCAGGTTTTCTCTGTGATGAACTGGAAATAAGAGTTTTACAGACTTTCTAGCCCCAGCTAGCTTTGAACCGCAAACCTCGGATCTCAACCTCCTAAGTAGCTAGGATTACTGGCATGAGCCATTGGTACCTGGGTTGGCCTTTTTCCTTTCTACCTGGACATTTCATCTCCCTCCCTATCCTGGTATACTAGTGATTTAAAAGATGCATTTGCCAGAAAAAGGGGGAAGACGGGTGAAATACATATGCCATAGGTTTTTGTTGTTTTGTGGTGCTACATTTTGAACCCAGAGTCTTATATGTGCTAGACAGATGCTCTATGACTCAGTCATACTTCTTTCTTGCCTTATGCTTGTTTTAACTGCCACTACTACATTTGAAATGCTCCCACCGTATTATATGAACTCATTCCAAGTGGGATTTTAAGTACAGTACATAGCACACAGTAATTTCCTATATATAACTATACTTATTTTTGGACTAAGAGAGAGGGGACATTACTAGAGTTTCAGGGCTTTGATGCTTTCTATCACTTGAGCCATACCTCCAGCCCTTTTTTGCTCAATCTTTCAGATAAGGTCTAGCACTTTTGCCAATAGGTCTTGGGATACTACTTTAACCTCCAATTTAGGATTATAATTCTATGTAGGGTCTCCCAAACCTTTTGCCGAAGCTGGCCTTACCTCTACCTCACACCGACCTCACCCAGTACCTGCGTTACCTAGGCAACTGGGACACCTGGAAGAGGTCACATCTGCATCCGCTGAGGTCACATCTTAATCTGATGTGGCCACACCTTTCTCCCACCTGATCTACTTCCCTTTACCTGGACATACCTTTCCCCGCCCCCTACCCTACATAAGGCCTAACCCGGGGCCAGACGCTCTCTTTTGCCAGCCGCGTGTAGTGCCAACCTTTCCTGGTCCCAGCAGGTCTACTGAATAAACCTACCCCTTACCTGAATACCATGTGCGTGGTGCTGTTCTTATTTGGCTACCTCTTTTTAAAAACCTAACACTAAGGTGGTCCCAAACTCCATTTGTCATGCAATCCCACAGCCTAGCCTGAGACTATAGCTTTATGCCATACCCAGTTAAATCTGGGAACTTGGGGCTGGGAATGTGGCTTAGTGGTAGAGTGCTTGCCTTGCATGCATGAAGCCCTGGGTTCAAGTTCTTAGTATCATATAAACAGAAAAATGCAGAAATGGTTCTGTAGCTCAAGTGGTAGAGTGCTAACCTTGAGCAAAAGAAGCTCAGGGACAGTGCTCAGGCCCTGAGTTCAAGCCCCAGGACTGGCAAAAAAAAAAAAAAAATCTGGGAACTCTTCATGAATGGGTAGACAAAGAATATGTGAAAGTTATGTCTGGCCAAACAAAGTTCCAAAGGTTACAAGCCTCTGGAGTTGGCCAAACCCATTCCAGCCTCCCACCCCCCACTGCCCCAACCATTGTTTAAGGATTGTGAGTTGTTACAAGATCAAGGGTATTTCTTCTGTTTAGAAAGTAAAAAAACTGGGGAGAGGAACTGCCACTTAAGAGCCTTACATTCCCATTTTCTGGGTGGGGCACAGAAAACATTTCTCTTTTTAACTTCTTGCTACTTTAACCCAGTTATACCAAAATAAATCCTTGCTAAACCTTAACAACAACAACAAAATACCCCACCACACCCCAACTGGTATTTCAAAGGTAGGAGTCAGTGGCTAATGCCTATAAATCATAGCTATTCAGGAGACTGATATCTAGGAAGATTGTACTTCAAAGCCAGCCTGGACAGAAATGTAAGATTCTATCTCAAAAAAAAAAAAAAACAAAAAAACTAGCAGAGGGGCTGGGAAGGTGGCGAGCGCTTGCCTTGCATGCCTGAGGCCCCGGATTTAATTCCTCAGCACCACATAAGCACAAAAAGCCGGAAGAGGCGCTGTGGCTCAAGTGGTAGAATGCTAGCCTTGAGCTGAAGAGCTGAGGGACAGCGCCTAGGCCCAGAGTTCAAGCCCCACAACTGACAAAAAAAAAAAAAAAAAAACCTAGCAGAAAGTAGGCTAAGGCTGGGTGCCAGTGGCTATGCCTATAATCCTAGCTGCTCAGGAGTCTGAGAATTGAGGATTGCAGTTTGAAGCTGAGGCAGTAAAGTGTTTGAGATTCTTACTTCTAATTAACCACCAAAAAGCCAGAAGTGAAGCTGTGTGGCTCAAGTGGCAGAGCCCTAGCCTTCAACAAACAAAAGTTTAGGAACAGGGCCCAGGTCCAGCGTTTAAGCCTCCAGTATAGGAATACAAAAGAAAAATAAAGAAGAGAAAAGAAAGAAAAAGAAGTTAAGCCAGGTGCCTTGGCTCATGCCTGTAATCCTAGCTACTCAGGAGGTTGATATCTCAGGATCACGGTTCAAAGTCAGCCTGGGCAGGAAAAGTCTGTGAGACCCTAATCTCTAATAAATCACTTAGAAAATCAGAAGTGGCACTGTGGCTTAAATGGTAGAGCACTAGTGCTGAGCTGAAGAGCTCAGGGACCGCACCCAGGTCCAGAGGTCAAGCCCCACAACTGACCAAAAAAAAAAAAAAAAAAAGTTGAGTTGAAGGCCTGGTTCAAGTCACAAAGAGCCAACAGAGAAGCAAAACGCTTTGAGTTTAAATCCCAGTTCCAACAAATATAAATAAATAAAAAGATTTACCCTGTATTTTATATTCCAGTTTGAATCAAGAATCAACAGCTTATTTGAAAAAGTATAGCCAGCAGCATATAATTATATTCTGGTGGCAAAAATTAGTAAAAACAAAAAACAAAAAAACTACACAATGGGGGGGAGGGGGGAGGCTGGGAAGGGATGTGAAGGTTAAACAAAGGAGGAGGATGCAATGCTTGATAAGAAATGTACGCATTATCCTGCCCATGTAATTGTAACCCCTCTGTACAGTATGTTCACAAATAAAATAAAATTAAATAAAAAAAAAAAACTACACAACTGGGGCTGGGAATATGGCTTGGCAGTAGAGTACTTGCCTAGCATGTATGAAACCCTGGGTTTGATTTCTCAGCTCCACATAAACAGAAAAAGCTAGAAGTGACACTGTGGCTCAAAGTGGCAAAGTACTAGCCTTGAGCAAAAAAGACGCTCTGGGACAGTGCTCAGGCCCTAAGTTCAAGTCCTAGAACTGGCAAAACAACAACAACAATAAACAAACAAAAACAACTGATGTGGTGTTTTGTTTTTTTTTGCCAGTCCTAGTGTTTGAACTCAGGTCCTGGGCACCATTCCTCAGCCTTTTTGTGCTCAAGGCTAGCACTCTACCACTGGTGGCACAGAGCCACTTCTGGCTTTTTCTGAGTAGTTTTTTTCAAGATTAGAATCTCATAGACTTTCTTGTACAACTGATTTTTTTTTTTGGGGGGGGTCCGGTCGTGGGGCCTGAACTCTGGGCCTGGGTGCTGTCCCTCAGCTCTTCAGCTCAAGGCTAGCACTCTACCACTTAAGCCACAGTGCCACTTCCGGCTTTTTTTCTTTTTGCTTATGTGGTGCTGAGGAATCGAACCCAGGGCCTCATGCATGCAAGGCAAGCACTCTACACTGAGCCACCTTACCAGCCCCTGTTCAGGTAACTTTTAAGAGCTTATAAAAAGTTATTAAATATATATACATTCGTCTAGGTACCAGTGGCTCATGCCTGTAATCCTAGTTACTTGTGAGGCTAAAAATGGGAGGACTGAAGTTCAAGGCTAGCAAAGAGAGAAGCTAGATACAGTAGCCAAAACCTATGATCCCAGCAGAAGCAGACAGTGGTTCAGGGAAGTAAGAACCTATCCTAAAAATAACCTACTGATTAGGGATTTGAAGTATGCCTGGTGGAGCACCAGTCCAGCAAGCAAGGGGCCCAAGTTTAAACCCCAGTATCATATTCTCTCTGTTTTTCTGTCTCTGACACACACACACTCTCTCTCTCTCTCTCTCTCTCTCTCACACACACACTCTCTCTCTCTCTCCCCTATACATTTGACCAATGAACAGTAAAGGCCCATCCAGAGAATACAATTTAAGTGCATGTGAAAAACATTCCTTTCTTGGGATAAGTGAGATGCTTTCACCATGATAACAATAAAGGAGGGTGAAAGAGTGAACCCAAATCTGACAAATCTGCCCTGAAGCAACTCACCTCTCCAGAGGCCTGCGACCAGCTGCCTTTCTGTTTTTCCGGCCCAGTCCCTGCTGCAAGGCCAGTGTCTGAAATCCTCACCGTGGTTGGGGTGGAGTTGGCGGTAGTGACCACACCTGTTGAAGCCACCACGCCCTGGCCAAGTGGTTCCAGTGTTTTTCCTGCCTCTTTGTTTTCGGTTCCACCCACCTCTGGGACCAAAGGTGCCTGACTTGTGGCGGTAGAATATGGAGTGAAAGGTACAGGTGCATCCCCACCTACAGGCTCATCCTGCACCACCAGAGTCCTGCCGTTTTCTTTGGTGTAAGTAGCAAAGCGAATGTTGCGATTAATCTGGGGAACAAATGTAGACGGTGGTTGCTTGGCTCTCTGATCCATCCCTGGCTCTCCACTGGTATTACCTCCTTTCCAGGACCCTCGGCTTGCCTCACCTCCATCGCTCCCATTACTGTCTACTTCACCCCTGTCTCCTTTTAATTTCTTTGATGCAGGGTCACACCCAGAGTCCGAAGCACTTTTCCTCCTCCGGCCATCTTTCCCCTCTACGCTCTCTCTCTTCTTCTTTCCTTTGGATGATTTTACTGCTTTTAACGTACCCCCCTACAAAACAAAATTCAAAAAAGATTTAGTGTAAGGGACCTTTCATCCTGTGAACACTACAAACCATTAGAGCTTTCCCATCTCTAGAAGCAGACAAAGGCAGACTGTCACGTTCCTATGCCTAAGACATTCCCTTTGTCAGAATGAGTCTTCTTGTTGTTTACTTTATACATACACATTTAAGATAATAGTTACAAGAGGTAATTCTTACATAAAATACATGACTTCTTCAAATAGACTTGTGAGGGTTCTAATAATATTATAATTTCTTTTATAAAACAAACTATCATAGCTAGTTGGGACTCATTTATTCTTTGATGAAATAATTTGCTTTATTATATATTTATCTCCTTGTCTTTGACAGATACTTACATTTCAAGAATTGAACTATGCAAGCAACTCTATCCAGAAGTCACCAAAACCAACATTTGTGAATTGGTGACCAAAGGAAAAGTGAACCCAACAAAGACAAGTTTGAATTGCACAGACACAAGAATAAAGACATAACTGATCCTCAAACCTTGGTTCAAAGCATCTAGACAGAGGAAAACAAAATAAACACAAAAAAGAATAAGAGCAGTATAGGTCAAAAGAAAAATCCCTCTTTTCTCTATGGTAATTTCAGACAATCTCATGAAATCTTACGTGTGCCTGGCAAAGCAAGACAATAAGTAGATATGGATTGGAAGAAACAATTATCGTCATTCCCTAAGAAGGATAAGGAGAATGGGACATGGGATATAGTTAAGATTTCTCAAGCAAGGCTTTACATGTAAAACATTTTTATACTGGTATCCCACTACAATGTTGGTACTGCTTTTAGGTTTATTCAGAGAGGTTAGGATAGTAATTAAGCTAGAAACACGAAGTTATTTAGCCACTAATTTTTACCAGCTAATCTACTTTTTGTTTGTTTAACTGTATTTTTTTTGTCTTTTCTTTTTTTTTTGGTACTGGGGATTGAACCCAGGATGTTGCACTTGTTAAGCTAGTGCTTTGACACTGAGCTACATCTCACCCTGTTATTCTTTACAGAGTTATATTTTCATTGTATTCATTATTAGAATGGTAATATTTTTCAAATGTTGTAATTCTTCTTGCCAGTTCTAATTCCATATTTTTGTTGCCTTAATTTCTCTTTCATTTTCTTTCTTATATTTTCCTTTAACAGAAAGCCAAGGTTTCCTGTGCTTTCCCCCTTGTTTCTGAGATTATGTAAGATTCAAAAATAGGTAATAGCCATAGATAAAATAGTATTTTTATTGTGATGAAATACTTATTATACTAGGGTAATATTAGCTAAGTTTCCTAAATATTTCATTTAAGAACTATTATTTTGCTAAACATTGTTTTCATCCTCATTCTCATTTAAAACTTCCTTTTTTTTTTTCTGGGTGCCAGTGGTTCATGCCTGTAATCCTAGCTATGCAGGAGGCTGAGATCAGAGGATAGCAGTTAGAAGCAAGCCTGGGGCATGAAAATGCCTATGTGAAACTAAAAAAAGCCAGAAGTAGAGCTATGGCTCATAGGATAAATAACCTTGTGCAAATATGCTCAGGAACAGCACCCAGGATGGGCACAAAAACAAAAAATAACTTCATCTTTTTTTCACCTCCATCATTATGGAGTTTCCTTTTTTTACTTTTTTTTTTTTTTTTTTTGGTTGGTCGTGGGGCTTGAACTCTGGGCCGAGTTTCCTTTTTTTGAACTCAGGGCCTCATATACTTTGTGTGTCAGTTGTGGGGCTTGAACTCAGGGGCTAGGTGCTGTCCCTGAGCTCTTTTGCTCAAGGCTAGAGCTCTATCACTTTGAGGTACAGCTCCAGTTCTAGTCTTTCTAGTGCTTAATTAGAGATAAGAGTCTCACAGGGATTTTTCCGTCCCAGCTGGCTATCAACCACGAACCATGATCCTCAGATCTCAGATTCCTGAGTAATTAGGATTATAGGTGTGAGCCACTAGCACCTAGGTAGGGCCTCAAACTCTAGATTAGCTATTTTTTCAGCTCAAGACTAGCACTCTATTACTTGATCCACAGCTCTACTTCAGGCTTTCTGCTGGCTAATTTGAGGTAAGAGTCTCTTGTATTTGTCTGCCTGGACTGGCTTTGAATGGTAATGATTAGATCTCAGGCTCCTAAGTAGCTAAAATGATAGATATAAGTGTAGAGCATAAACTAATTTTCAGTGTTTTGAACTACAGAAGAAATATGTTCATTAAGGTCTTTCCCTCCTTATTGCTCATTCACTCATACACTTCAAGGAAATTGTGATTCTGAATCTCTAAAAGGAGTTTCTGTTAAACTTGACAAGCTGTCAATAATAACTGCAATTGGCCAGCCAAGAAAATAGTCACTCTATTACAAATTCGGAAGTAGAACAACATGGGTTAGTGGCATAGCTCAATTGATTGAGTGCCAGAACAAGCAGTAGGTTCTAAGCTCAAACCTTAGTAACTTGGGGGAAAAAATTAAAGAAAAAACCCTAAATTTGTTACTAAAAAACACAGTTTCTACTTCTAACTCTTTTACCCAACTTACAGAGCCTGGTGCACAGCAACCTCCTCAACTAGAATATATGTGTCTCATTTATGGTGAATACGCAGGATATGAGTAGGCAGTATAGGACACTGAGGTAGGTACTCTTCAGTTACAGCTGGACTGCTGAATAGGATCTGGTATAAATAAGTACTTAATAAATAAAGTAAGGAAAGGAATGAAAAATGGGACTCAATACACCATCGAAGTAATAGGTTTTCAGTCATGCAAGACACCCCTATTCACGATAATAATAAGAGCTATTAAACCTACTTCTTTCTTTCCCATCCTGCTCTTGTTTATCTAGGCAAGACTAACTACATAAAAAAGTCGATGAAAGGGCTGGGAAGGTGGCTCATTGGTAGAATGCTTGCCTCGCATGCATGAGGCCCGGGGTTCGATTCCTCAGCAGAAAAAGCCAGAAGTGGCGCTGTGGCTCAAGTGGTAGAGTGCTAGCCTTGAGCTGAAGAGCTGAGGGACAGTGCCGAGGCCCAGAGTTCAAGCCCAGGACTGGCAAAAAAAGAAAAAAGAAAAAAAAAAGTCGATGAAGAACTATCTACTCAGTAGGGGTGTCCCCCAAAATAATATTTATAGAGGTGCTAAGGCACTATGAAGAATATGTGGACAGATGAAAGGATATTAACACAGTATTCCTTAATTGGTTCAGGCAGATATTTCTAACTTACCTTCTTTCTTTTACAAATTCCTTGCCAAAATTCAGAATGAACAAAAACTTGGGTTAGTCTGTAATAATTATAAAAGAATTCACTATGTGCAAAAAAGCACAAAACCAGGTACCTGTTTGATTTGGTTCTATTTGGAAATATAGAATTTCAGATTCCCTGGGAGCTCACTGCCACCTAATGGCAAAACAAACAAACAAAAAAGAGACAAACAAAAAGAAGAACATGCTTTTTCTTAAAAAAATATTTTTTGTGTGTGCTGGTTCTAGGTTTTAAACTCAGGGCCTGGGCACTGTCTCTGAGCTTTTTTTCTCAAGGGTAGTGCTGTACCACATGAGCCATAGCTCCACTTCTGGCCTTTTTTTTTTTGGTTGGTTAATTGGATATGGAATCTCGTGGACTTTCCTGACAAGCTGGCTGTGAAGCATGATCCTCCGATCTTAGCCTCCTGAGTAGCTAGGATTACAGGAATGAGTCTCCAATGCTTGGCTTTTTTCTTCAGTTTGTATTACTGAGTAGGTTATGATTTACTACTGTTTATCAGTCTTAAATATCTGCCATCTCTTTCAAATATACCTGTCTTGAGAAATGTAAGAAGAAATAAATAGGGCTTGGATGTTGTAACAACTAGAGAATGGAGACATGACTAAAAGGTTTGTTCAAACTAGGTTTCTTTCATGAGATTATCCCGCATACATACATATATTGCAGAAAAAAAGGTGTAGTGGCTAAAGTTGAATAATCAAAGAGTATCCATGGAAAACATACACAGAGAGTGAGAGACATTACATAACAAGAGAATACAAGCTCATGAGTCTACTCAGATACTCAGTCTATTACAATACCTCTGTCTGAGACGTTGAGTTATCCATCAACATCACATGGATAAGTCTAGGATCTACCGACTTGATTTCACCACTCTGTGGTATGAGTAGGACAGCAGAACATAAGAAAAAAGAGGAAAAAGAAATTTAATGTCTTATCTATCAAGACTTAACTATGCATTTTCCTCATTTACACACTATTGTTCCTACACTCTTCGAGAGTGAAAACTCCATGAGGGCAAGGATCTAAACTCTCATTCACTGCTATAGTAAGACCTGAAATGAAGTTTGGACCATGGTAAATATTAAAATATTTGTTAAGTGAATTAATGAAAAAGCTGATTGCGTGAAGGCTCAAGTATATCTTTTTAAGAATGCTCATTTCAAATTCTGTATCTCTAATTTCTATTTGGCATATTAAGTTTTTAAATTTTTTTACTGTTATTATAAAAGTGATATACAGAGGAGTTACAGTTATTTAAGTCAGATAATGAGTACATTCCTTTTTTTAAATTTAATTTTATTGTCAAGGTAACATACCGAGGGGTTAGAGTTATATACATAAGGCAGCTAGTACATTTCTTGTCAAACTTGCTACCCCTTCCCTCATTTTCCTCCAACTATGAGTACATTTCTTTTTGGATAATGTCACTCCTTCCCTCACTCTCTCCCAGTTTTTCCCTCCCATTCATACCTACAAGTTACAGACTTCATTTTCAACTAATCTAGTAAGTACCACTGCTGCATTTGTTCACCCTTTGTCCCCTCCCTCTGTGCTTCCCATTACCCTCCCAAAGACAGACAAAAAAAAACAAGACAAAAAAGAAAATTAAAAACAACAATGAAGAAAAAACTTCTTGGGCTGGGAAGTTGGCTCAGTGGTAGAGCGCTTGCCTTGCATGCATGAGGCCCTGGGTTTGATACCTCAGCACCACATAAGCAAAAAGAAAAAAGCCGGAAGTGGCGCTGTGGCTCAAATGGTAGAGTACTAGCCTTGAGCTGAAGAGCTGAGAAATAGCGCCCAGGCCCAGAGTTCAGGCCCTATGACTGGACCCAAAAAAAAAAAAAAAAAAGAAAAAACTTTTTGTTTCCATTTCCTGGAGTTCATTTAGATAAATATTATTTTGTATGAACAGATGCACATAGACATTGCTCCTTTGCATTGTTCTTCTCCTAAAAATATTTTCCTTTGGTCTCACTGTGTATGAATGCCTAGAGTCCTGTATAATTTTTTGGTATATTGTAAAACAAAAGTCCTTTATAATCAGCAATCATTAAAAAGTCCCATGCCATTAAAGAATAGAAACTTATCCAGATACAGATACACTTGTGATCCTAGTATTCAGGAGGCTGAGGCAGGAAGATTATAAGCTTGAGGCTCATCTGAACTACATAGAGAAATCAAGGCAAGCTTGAGCTATATGAAACCTATCTTAAGAAAAAAACAGGACTGGGAAGGTGGCTCAGTGGTAGAACGTTTGCCTTGCATGCATGAGGCCCTGGGTTTGATTCCTCAGCACCACATAAGCAAAAAGAAAAAAGCCGGAAGTGGCCCTGTGGCTCAAGTGGTAGAGCGCTAGTCTTGAGCTGAAGAGCTGAGGGACAGCGCCCAGGCCCAGAGTTCAGGCCCCATGACCGGACCCCCCCTATCCCCCTCCAAAAAAAGAAAAAACAATTTGGAGTGGGAGTAATTTGACAGAAAATACCAAACTTATTGGAAATACACAGTAAGTTATATACCAAGAAATTTATTTCAAATAAATAATGAATGTAAAAAGGAGGTTCATGTATGTTCCTTACGTTATTATTTTATTAGTGAAAATATTGGTGGTGATTTAAATATCCCTCAATTTTAGATTAATTACTGTAGATCCATTTAGTGGAATATATTTTAAAAGGATGAATCAGATCTCTATATTGACATAAAGATGTTATAGCCAGGTGCTGGTGGCTCACACTCGTAATCCTAGCCTCCTGAATAGGCTACAATCTAAGGATCACAATTTGCAGCCAGCCAAGCATAAAAGTCTGGGAGGATTCTTATTTCTAATAAAAATCTGGAAGTAGAGGTATGGCTCAAGTGGTAGACTGCTAGAGTTGAACAAAAGAAGCTCAGGGACTGAGCTTCAAACCCCTGAGTTCAAACCCCAGAACGAGCATACACTAAAAAGATGTTAGAAACAATTTAGTAAAAAACAAGAAATTGTGTGACTAGATATACTATATCAACCTATTTATTATTAAACTATGACTTATAGAATTTTGTCAAATAAGTATACTATATGTGTATATGTGCATAGAAAATATTTTGAAGAATATGGGATATACACACCAAATTATTAATGGTTAGCTACCAAGGGAGTGGTAAAATGATATTTGTCTAGGGAAAGGGACAGCTCTCATTTTCTACTATGTAAGAGAGAGAGAGAGAAAGAGAGAGTGTGCAAACAGAAGTACTTTTGTTTACATTTTGTATGATAAAGTAGAAATATTTCATTTATATTTTGATTTTTTTTTTTTGTCGGTCATGGGGCATGAACTCAGGGACTGTCCCTGAGCACTCTACTACTTTGAACCTCAGCGCCACTTCTTGCTTTTGAGTGGTTAATTGGAGGTAAGAATCTCACAGGGACTTTTCTGTCCAGGCTGGCTTGGAACCATGATCCTTGAATCTCAGCCTCCTGAGCAGCAAGGATTACAGATATAAGCCACTGCGCCTAGCTAAATCTGAGGTCTGAGGATCATGATTCAAAGCCAGCTTGGGAAGAAAAGTCTATGAGACTTTCATCTCCATAAACCACAGGAAGTAGAGCTGTGGCTAACAGTGGTAGAGTACTAGCCTTGAGTGAAAAAGCTCAGAAACAATGCCCAGACCCTAAGTTAAAGCCCTATTAAAAAAAAAAAAAGAGTAAGTCTGGTTGGACACTAGTAGCTCATACCTGTAATCCTAACTGAGGAGGCTGAGATGTGAGGATTGCAGTTCGAAACCAGACTAGTCGGCAAAGTATGTGAGGCTCTTATCTCCATTTAACCACCCAAAAGCCATAGTGGAGCTGTGACTCAAGTGATACAACATTAGCCTTGAGCAAAAAAGTTTAAGTATAGTGCCCAGGCCCGGAATTTAAGCCCCAAGGCTGGCACACACACATAAAAGAGTAAGTCTAAAACCAAAGATACCATAAGTACCTATTTGTCATTCTCCAAACACTCATCTATTATTTCTCCTAAATGATTCTCTAGGTATCTCTAAATGCCATTATCTTGTTGTTTATTCATTAGAAACAATTCATTTTTTCAGCATCGAGGATATAGTAATAGAAGCAGTACAAAAGCAAAGGCTAACTAGTCTTTTAACAACTAGTTATTATAAATATAATACTACTATTTACATTTATATATTGTTCTACTGATTACTAGGGGTACTTTCCAGTTCTATTTTATTTTGCTTTGTTTTTTGAGACAGGTTCTCACTATGTAGTTCATACTTGTCTCAAACTTTCAATTAACCTGCCTCAGCTTCACTAGTGTTAGGATTACAGGCATGTGCTATCATGCATGGCTCCAAAGTATTTTCAAGTACATTTTCTCAGTCCTCAAAAGAGTGCTATGAGGTTAGGGGGGATTTGCATAATCACCTCTAATTTACAGATAAGAATTGTGAGGTTAAAAAAAAGTTGCAGGGCTGGGAAGGTGGCTCAGTGGTAGAGTGCTTGCCTCACATGTATGAGGCCCTGGGTTCGATTCCTCAGCACCACATAAACAGAAAAAGATGGAAGTGGTGCTGTGGCTCAAATGGAAGAGCACTAGCCTTGAGCTGAAGAGCTGAGGGCCGCACAGGCCCAGAGTTCAAGCCCCACGACTGACAAAAAAAAAAAAAAAAAGTTGCATGGCCTTTATTTACAATCATAAAGGTTTTTTTGTCAGTTGTGGGGCTTGAACATGCCTAGGCACTGTCCCTGAGCTCTTCAGCTCAAGGTGAGCGCTCTACCACTTGAGCCACAATACCACTTCCAGTTTTCTGGTGGTTTATTGGAGATCAGAGTCTCATGGACTTTCCTGTCCAGGCTGGCTTTGATCCGTGACCCTTCAAAATCAGCCTCCTGAGTAGCTAGGATTACAGGTGTGACCCACTGGCACCCGGCTCTAAATAAAGTCTTATAAGTACTACAGTGCTTACTTTCTCTATACTATCCTCAGTAAGGAGATATATGGGTCTTAAAATAATAGAGCCTCACCTCAGTTATAGATACCTCCATAAGACGGGTGATTGAATCCTGATGGCTTACAACACCGTAGATCCAGCATTCTTCACCCTCTGGCTGGTATATTTTGACCCTGTGACCTTGAACACTGTAGGGACCTAAAGAAGAGATCAATTCAGTTGACTATTTTGGATTATAATCCAAAATATCTAAGTTTTATAATCAATTCTAAAAGTAGAAGACAAATTATATAATGTAAATACATGACACTTTCTATACAGAGCTCAATAAAGGAGCAATTCTAGTTTTACCATACTCAGAACTTTAAGAAAAAAAGTGATTTTTTTCCCAATCTTTATAAATTCTTCATTTAATTGAGGATTCCTTAGACATTCCCAGGCTCCCAATTCCACCTCTTCTCCAGTATAAAATTCTAGAAATAATATAGGAAGAGAAAGAAAACTTACAAGTCAAAACTACATGAAGCAGTAGTCACAATGTTAGAAATGAAATATATAACTCTGAAGCGAGGGAAGTCAGTAGGGGAAAAACTGGGGGGAGGGGGATAACTGTTCAAAAGAAAATGTACTTATTACTGACTCATGTAACTGTAATCCCTCTGTATATTACCTTTACAATAATTTTTTTAAACCTACAGGAAGTATGGAAATGTACTCAGGTACCTGATATGTACATGAAAAAAAGTAGGTTACTAAATTTAATGTGGTGTTATATCAAATGATCACAAGAATGACATTTGACTATTAAAATTCTGCTATCTGATTTTCAATAGCAGCGGATAGAGTTCAATTTATGAGATTTTTAATCTCTCTATAAGTAATAGTCTGAACAAATCTATCACCTGTCTTCATAGGAACACAGAGGGTCAAAGGTAATATTTATCAGCAGGTAATATTACCTTACAATTTCAGCTGCCCTTTAATGAAGGCCAGTTGTTTCTTCAATATATTGTATATTTGAAGCTATATAGCTAAAGCATTACTATTAGATGATTCTAAAATGTTTCTATATACATTCACATAATCCTTTCTTCATATTGTGGTCACTCAAATTTCATCTCTGATGTCAATTTTTCCTTCAACTTCTTTCTTCCTCTATACTACTACTTGGTTAAATATAACTTTAGCTGGGCACAGTGGCTCATGCCGGGAATTCTAGCTACTTGAGAGTGGCAATCAGGGGAAAATGGTATGAGAGTATCCCAGGCAAAAAAAAAAAAAAAATGGTTGGTGAGACCACAACTTGACTAATGGCTGGGTATAATAGCATGCACCTGTAATTCTAGCAAGCAGAAAAGCACATATAGGAGGACTATAGTCCAGACCTGGCTGGGGAAGAAAATGAGATCCTATCTCAAAAATAACCAACACAAATAAGGCTGGAAAGTGGATCAAATGGTAGAGTGCCTACTTAGCAAATGCAAGACCTGGAGTTCAATCCCCAGTATGGCCAAAAATATCCTATAACTTTCCCCAGTAGTTTTCCTACCTATACCTGTTTAGATCTGACAAAAGAAAAAAAGCTATTTTTTTTTTAACCCTGGTCCTAAGGATTGAGCCTGGTGCCTTGTGAATATTAGGTGAGCATTCCAATATTCACCTACATCCATAGTTCCTCCCCTTCCCACTCCTCCCTTCTCTTTTTCTGGTTCTTGTGAATGAGTCAGTGGACATAGTATTCTAAAAATATATTTTTTACTCTGTATCTTTTGTTGATATCAAATCTTGAGTTCTTGAGAAATCTGCAAATAGTAAATTCAACAAAAGCAAACATTTTCTAGCTATTCTAGCTATTTACAGTATTCCTGGTGCCTTAACATTGTGTCTAGTACATGTACTCCTTAGCACTTTTTTTTTTTAGTCCATTGTAGGTCTTGAACTAAAGGCCAGGGTGCTGTCCCCAAGCTCTTTTGCTCAAGGATAGTATTCTATCACTTTGAGCCACAGCTCCACTTCAATTTTCTGAGCAGGTTAATTGGAGATAAGAGTATCAAGGGAACTTTTCTGCCCAGGCTGGCTTTGTTTTTTTGGGGGGGGTCCGGTCATGGGGCCTGAACTCTGGGCCTAGGCGCTATCCCTCAGCTCTTCAGCTCAAGGCTAGCGCTCTATCAGTTGAGCCACAGCGCCACTTCCGGCTTTTTTCTTTTTGCTTATGTGGTGCTGAGGAATCGAACCCAGGGCCTCAGGCATGCAAGGCAAGCACGCTACCACTGAGCCACCTTCCCAGCCCCCCCAGGTTGGCTTTGGACCATGATCCTCAGATCTCAGCCTCCTAAGTAGCTAGGATTACAGGTGTCAGCCACCCAGCCTTAATACATACGGAAGAAATGACTGAAACAACAAAACTAAACTCACAACAAAATTGTGTGTTATAAAATGTGGAATGAAGAGAAAATACTGGTCTACTTGAGATCTTATTTATTTTGGAGATCCAGCTAACTAGAACTCCACTCACAAAAAGATGATAAGAACAAATGTCCCATTCCATCATTCAACATGACTGTCTACTTGATTCACATTTCAGGTCAGAAGACGACTTGTTCTTACCTCGGCTGAATATCTCTTGTAGCTTTTGGTCACTGATCAAAGCATTAATTGTTTCTCTCAGTGCAGCATGTTCTAAAAGGATCTGGTTTTGGCTATCTGTTCCCATCTGGTAAAGATAAAAGAAGAGAACACCTAATATTAAAATGAATGGCATCAGACAGGCTCTGGATCATGTCTATAATCTTAGCTACTCAGGAAGTTAAAAATCTGAAGATTACAGTTCAAAGCCAGCTCTGTAGGAAAAACTATGAGACCATTATCTGCAATTAATACCAAAAAGCCAGAAATGAAGTTGTGGTAGAGCATCAGTCTTGTGCAAAACAGCTGAGGGACAGCACCTGGGCCCTGAGTTAAAGTCCTAATACTGGCACCAAAAACAAAACAAAAAAAACAACCAAAGGAACAAAAGCAAAATCACAGGGGCTAGGAATGTGGCTTAGTGGTAGAGTGCTAGCCTAGCATGCATGAAGCCCTGGGTTTGATTCCTTAGTACCACATAAACAGAAAAAGCTGGAAGTGCTGCTGTGGCTCAAGTGGTAGAGGGCTAGCTTTGAGCCCAAGAAGCTCAGAGACATGCCCAGGTCCTGAGGTCAAGCCTCAGGACTAAGATTTAACTAGATAAGAAAAATATCTTTTTTTTTTTTTTTAAATCAGTCACAGGGCCTGAACTCTCTGGGCCTGGGCACTGTCCCTCAGCTCTTCAGCTCAAGGCTAGTGCTCTACCAGTTGAGCCATAGTACCACTTCTGGCTTTTTCTGCTTATGTGGTGCTGGGGAATCGAACCCAGGGCCTCATGCATGCAAAGCAAGCAATCTACCACTGAGCCACCTTCCCGGCCCCTGAGAAAAAAATCTTATACAAAGAAGCTCTAAGAGCATTTGCTAAAATTATCTGTATAACTCTCTAGTTTTACAAGATTCTGTGCAAAAATAAATGCTAGGGACAGTTAAGTTTGGGGAATATTAAATACTCCTTTGACATAATATTATGGTTCTGAGATGTTACATGGAAAAAAAATAAATCTGTACAAGCCAATGTTTCTTCCTTTTTTCCCCTTCCTTCCTTCCTTCTTTCCTTCCTTCCTTCCTTTCTCTCTCTCTTTCTTTTCCTTTTTTTTTTTTTTTTTGGTGTCAGTCATAGGGTTTGAACTCAGAGCCTGGGTGATGTTCCTGAGCTCTTTTGCTCAAGGCTAGCACTCTATCTACCACTTTGAGCCACAGCTCCACTTCTGGTTTTCTGGTAGTTAATTGGAGACAAAAGTCTCATAGGGACTTTTCAGTTCCTGATCCTCAGATCTCAGCCTCTTGAGTAGCTCAGATTGCAGGCATGAGCCATTGGCACCCAGCTTATGTCAATGTTTCTTACACTTACTTGACTAACATTTTTTTTTTTTGGTCGAGGGGCTTGAACTCTGGGCCTGGGCGATGTCTTAGCTCTTTAGCTCAAAGCTAGTACTCTACCATTGAGCCACCTTCCCAGCCCCCAAAATATTTTATTCTTTGCAAATTTTTGCTTATTTTAGTACTTGTAGATCACTTATTGAGTGCCATTTCATATAAACACCAAAGATGAACAAAACAAGGTTGCCTAGTGAGAAAGGAAGATATAGCAAAAAGAAATCATTAAGCTCTCACAGAATACAGCTTAGAAAATACTTCTCAATAATAAGAGTAAAACGAGTCTTTAACTTTTTTGTTGTTGTTGTTGGTCACCAGGCTTGATCTCTGGGTCTGGGCACTGTCCCTCAGCTCTTCAGCTCTAGGCTAGCACTCTTACCACTTGAACCATTGTGCCACTTCCAGTTTCCTGAGTGGTTTATTGGAGATAAGAGTCTAATGGACTTTCCTGCCCGGGCTGACTTTGAACCAAGATCCTCAGATTTCAGCCTCCTGAGTAGCTAGGATTACAGGTGTGAGCCACCAGCGCCCAGCTAGTCTTTATATATTCTGCATTTAGAGCAGAAAATGTTTTTCTTTTTCTATTTTTACCTATTTTAACTGTTATACTAAAATAAATCCTTGTTATAACTTTGATAATGCCCATATAATTCTTAGGATCTCTATCTCACTTTTTTTTGGTGCCAGTATCGGGAACTGAACTCAAGGCCTCAAGCTCTCACTTTGCTTTTTCCTCAAGGCTAGTATTCTACCACTTGAACCACACCTCTATTTCTGGCTTTCTGCTAATTAATTGTAAATGAGTTTCATTGACTTTTCTGCCCCAGCTGGTTTTACACCTGGATTCTCAGATCTCAGCCTCCTGAGTAGCTAGGATTATAGGGTTAGGCCACCAGCACTCAGGGAAGACTCTCAGTTTTTATCCTTCAGACAGCAGCCTTTACAAGCAAAATACAGTATCTTTTCTTAAATTCTGAAACCACAACTGAGATGCTAGTTTGCTTTTTTTTTTTTTTTTTGGTTGGTCATGGGGCTTGAACTCTGGGCTTGGGCACTGTCCCTGCACTCTTCAGCTCAAGGAGAGCGTTCTACCGCTTGAGCCACAGCGCCACTTCCTAGATGCTAGTTTGTTTAAACCACTTACTCCTTTCCTTTGTAGCTAAAGACATAACCTAAACTCTTCAATATTTCATGTTTCCGGGCACCAGCCCACACTCTTCCTAGTTTACCTGTCACTGAGGTAATCATAAATGTCTCAGACTCAAAGTTACAGTAAAAGCTACCTTAGAGAAGTCACCTTTCTGAAGGGACCCTCAGAACTGTCCTCTTAAGTACTGAGTGATTTTAGACTGGAATAGGGAAAAGTAAAAAATAGAAAAAAGAAAAAAAAAAGAGAGAGAGAAGCTTCAATCACCAAATGTGCTTTTCAAGGAAGCAAACACACCTTAATTATACACACACAAGGAAATTTATTGAGGAAATCTTTTTTTTTAAATGGGTTAATAAATACTCATACTTACATCAACAAAGAAATTAGCACACTCAAAGAAATATAACAGACTGAAGGTACAAAATATAAAATACCTGGAACAAATGCAATCCATTAGCATCTGTCAGGAAACGAAGCTCTCGATCCAAAAGGTATTCTACTGGTACCACAGAACCCAAACCCAGTTTATCTACTAAGGGAGTGAAAGTCTGTGAAGTACAAGGACAAGAAATTGATTAGCACTTGGAAAGAAAAATAGGTAACAATTAAATTTCTAGGTTCAGGGAAAGTTCCTATTTCTAAACATCTTTCGTCCTTATCAATCAATACAGATAGGCTAAAGCATGAGTCCCTTGAAAAACATTTCTAATTCAACATCTGTCCCTCAAACAATTATAGGAAGAAATTAAACAGAAAGTCTGCCCAATACTTTTATTTATAGCTAAAAAAGACAGGTAGAGCCGGGCACTGGTGGCTCACGCCTGTAATCCTAGCTACTCAGGAAGCTGAGATCTGAGGATTGTAGTTCAAAGCCAGCCCGGGCAGGAAAGTCCGTGAGACTCTTATCTCCAATTAACCACCAGAAAAATGGAAGTGGTACTGTGGCTCAAGTGGTAGAGCGCTAGCCTTGAGCTGAAGAGCTGAGGGATAGTGCCCAGGCCCAAAGTTCAAGCCCCACAACTGACCCAAAAAAAAAAAAAGAAGGACAGGTAGAAATGAGAAATTCTTCATTTTTCCGGGGGATATGACTCATTTTGTCAGACTTCAAGAAGGCAAAATCTGGGCTGGGAAGGTAGCTCAGTGGTAAAGCGCTTGCCTTGCATGCCTGAGGCCCTGGGTTCGATTCCTCAGCACCACATAAGCAAAAAGAAAAAAGCCGGAAGTGGCGCTGTGGCTCCAGTCGTAGAGCGCTAGCCTTGAGCTGAAGAGCTGAGGGATAGTGCCCAGGCCCAGAGTTCAAACCCCACGACCGGACCCAAAAAAAAAAAAAAAGAAGGCAAAATCTGTTATAATTTACTACTCTGAAAATGTCATGGGATTTCTAATTATTGATGTAAACACGTACAGATTTTTTTTTCTTTTTTCTTTTTTTTGAGGGCCTTACTATGTAGCCCTGATTGACCTCAAAAAAACCCATAATCCTTATGCCTTGCACAGCCATGACCATGCCAACAGGATCAGCCTGTTAAATTCTTATCACTATTTCATAGTCTGTAAAAGAAATGCTGAGTGGCACTGTTTCCATTTGTAAAAGTTGCTTTAATAGTTTAATTGGAAAGTAAACTTAAAAACAAATGAGGGCTGGTAATGTGGCTTAGTGGCAGAGTGCTTGCCTAGCTGCACAAAGCCCTGGGTTCGATTCTTCAGTACCACATAAACAGGGGGATTAGCAAAACAGAAAAACAAAAAGCAAAACAAACAAAAATGAAAGACAGGGCTGGGAAGGTGGCTCAGTGGTAGAGCACTTGCCTTGCATGCATGAGGCCCTGGGTTCAATTCCCCAGCACCACATAAGCAAGAAGGAAAAAAGCCAGAAGTGGCGCGGTGGCTCAAGTGGTAGAGTGCTAGCCTTGAGCTGAAGAGCTGAGGGACAGTGCCCAGGCCCAGAGTTCAGGCCCCAGGACCAGACCCCCCCCCAAAAAAAATGAAAGACAGTATTTCATGCTCCTAATTCTAGTATTTCAGAAGGGTCACCAGTTTGAGGCTAGCCTGGCCTGTATTGTGAGACTACCACAAAACAATACCCCAAAAAAACCCATACACTCAAAGAAAAAAGGTCAGTTTTAATAAGTGAGGATACATATAGTTTTATTTGAATATTATTTATTCAGTATCTGAATTTCTGTAATTAGTTGGCAAAAGGATAGTTTTAAAAATTATCATTTATGCAAGAATCTTGCTAATAGGATAGCTAAAAGCAAATGGATTCTCTAAGTATTGAGTTTGTTGGTTTTGTTTTTTGGTCAGTTCTGGGGTTTGAACTCTGGGCCTGGGCTCTGTTCCTGAGCTTCTTTTACTCAAGGTTAGTGCTCTACCACTTGAGCCACAATACCATTTCTGACCTTTTCTGAGTAGTTTACTGGAGGTAAGAGTCTCACAAACTTCCCTACCCTGGCTGGCTTCATAGCTTCCTGAATAGCTAGATTACAGATATGAGCCATATGCACCCAGATTTGAGGGTTTTTTTCTTTTTTCTTTTTGTCAGTTGTGGGGCCTGAAATCTGGGTCTGGGTGCTGTCCCTCAGCTATTCAGCTCAAGGCTAGCACTCTACCACTTGAGCCAAAGAGCCACTTCCGGCTTTTTCTGCTTATGTGGTGCTGAGGAATCAAACCCAGGGCCTCATGCATGCAAGGCAAGCACTCTACCACTAAGCCACCTCTCCAGCCCCAGCTTTAAGTTTTATTTTATCATTTTTTTAATGCTAATTCTGGAAATTGAACTCCAAGCCTCCCACTTTGTTGGTGGTGGTCATGGGGCTTGAACTAAAAGCCTGGGCACTGTCCCTCAGCTTTTGCTCAGGGCTAACGCTCTCCCACTTTGAGGCACAGTGTCACTTCTGGTTTTCTGGTAATTAGAGATCAGAGTTTCATGGGCTTTCCTGCCTGGTCTGGCTTCAAATGGTTATCCTCAGATCTCAGCATCCTGAGTAGCTAGTATTACAAGTGTGAGCCACCAGCACCCAGCAGGGCTTAGCTTTTTTGCTCAAGGCTGACTCCAACTTTATGCTGGTCAGTTGAAGTTAAGAGTCTCTCGGATATGGCTACCTAGGCTGGCTTTGAACCTTGATCCTCAAATTTCAGACTCCTGAGTGGCTAGGATTACAAACGTAAACCACCTATACCTGGCTAGTCATAATTTTTTTATTTTTTGTCCATCCTGGGGCTTGAGCACTGGGCCTGGGTGTTGTCCCTGAGCTCTTTGGCTCAAGGGAGTGCTCTACCACTTGAGCCACAGCACCACTTCCTAGTCATAAATTTTGTAACACTTGTATCTCACTTCACAAAACAAAGCTTGATTTAAAAAAAGTTGTAGTTTACATTGTTTCAGAACCTTGCTATGAGAAAAGATTAAAGGTGAAAAAATTCTTCAGAGCTAATAAAGTATCAAATATTACCAAATATAAAGTTTTAGAAAATAGGAGAAAAGCTCTCTTAATTTTTATTTCAGTGACTTCAGAATAAAACTATGTTTAGCATGTAATTTCTGCAAGTTCTGAAGAATTAGTTATTTGGTGGTTACTGCAGTTATAATAAAAGAGAACTCATGTATATTCCTATCCAATAAAAACCACTTCATGAATTCAATCTACATGCTACAATTAAGAAAAGTGAGAGAAGGGATGAGTTGAGAGGGATGGGTGAGAATGTTGAAAAGTGTGCATTGTATTTATAAACTGCTGTATTAAGTGGCAACTCCTTTGTACAACTACTTAAAGATAATAATAAATTAATTAAATTAAAGCCACTTGAAGAGCTAGTGCTATAGTTTCACATGACTCTAGGAGGTTTTGGGTTCCTTCCCCAACACTGCTAAAAAGAAAAGAAAGAAAAACAAAATCTACTCACCAGAGCTGGCCACTGTGCATTTGAAACTCGAGTGCCTTGGAGAAGGACTGGGTCTTTCCGTGGTGCCCATACAAGTGACCCTTCCAGGAGAAGCACAATAACTTCTTCAGCATGAACTTTAACCCAGGAGTGTTGCTTCCAGTTACAACCATCAAATTCTACAAAAATCTGTAAAAATGAGATTAGAAGCAGTTTGGATGGGAAATACAACAGAGTGACACATAAAAATAACCCCTCAGGTTTTGAATAACTAGGAAGAATTATACTTATTGTAAATTCTTTTAAAGGATGCTAATGAAAACTGATCTTAGTTTAGAGCCAGAAAGTTGGTCTCAGCCTCACTCTGAAAAAGGGGAACAGAATTAAGAGAGTAGAAATTATCCAGTTATTCAGTAATGTTTAGTTGTAGCCCTACTGAAACTTACAACTAACATTTACACATACTAGGTGGAGGATAAGCCAAGTATAGTGGTACATGGGTATGTTACAGCTATTTGGGAGGCAAGAGCAGGAAAATAATTTGATCCCAGGAGTTCAGTATCAACCTAGGAAACAGAAAAACCTTTTCTCTTTAAAAACAAAACAAAACTGGGGGTTATCTAGTTACAAACTTCAGGTTGCTGATATCAATTGCTGCTAAAAGACTGAACATTTATGGGGTAGATAGGGTGGGAGAGTAGGGAGAAGTTCTTACATGGTTTACAGTGGGAGTAAAAACAGGACACACACATGCTGGTGTGTCAGGAGGACCATGAATTTGAGGTAAGCTTGGGTTATACAGCAAGACACTGTCTTAGCTGGGCACTGGTGTCTCATGCCTGTAATCCTAACTGTTCAGGAGAGTTGAGAATCACAGTTCAAAGTCAGCCAGGGCAAAAAAAAAGTCCATGAAATTCTTACCTTCAATTAACCGCCCAAAAAAAGCTCTAATCCTAGCTACTCAGGAGGCTGAGATCTGAGGATAGCAGTTCAAAGTCAGCCCCGGGCAGGAAAATCTGTGAGACTCATACCTCTAGACTCTTAACTACCAGAAAATCAGAAGTGGCAATGTGGCTCAAAGTGGTACAGCACTAGCCTTAAGCTGAAGTGCCCAGGCCCAAAGTTCAAGTCCCAGGACCAACAAAACAAACAAAAACAAAAAAACAAAAGAAAACCCAGAGGATTAGCTAGGCACAGGTGGTTCAGGCCTATAATACTAGCTACCTAGGAGATTGAGATGTGAGGATTGCTGTTTGAAGCCAGCCTGTGCAAGAAAGTCTGTGAGACTCTAATTTCAAATTAACCACCATAAAAAAGCCAGAAGTGGAAAAGTGGCTAGAGCAAAAAGGCTCAGGGACAGCACTCAGGCCTGGAGTTCAAACGCCAGGATGAGCACAGGGGGGAGGGCTGGGAAGGTGGCTCAGTGGAAGAGTGCTTGCCTTGCATGCATGAGGCCCTGGGTTTGATTCCTCAGCACCACATAAGCAGAAAAAAGCCCGAAGTGGCACTGTGGCTCAAGTGTTAGGGCGCTAGCCTTGTGCTGAATAGCTGAGGGACAGCACTTAGGCCCAGAGATAAGGCCCCATGACTGAACCCCCCCAAAAAAAAAAAAAAAAAAAAATCACCAACTTAGAGCTGCTTACTGTAAAAATTGTTCAGCCCAATTTCTCTTTGATATTTCACTTGGCAAAGATCCTTCTTGCCTATAATTTGGTCTCTTGAGGAAACTAAGAGTGGGCTTTCATCGGCACAGGTAAATCTCCCACTGTAAATTAATAGCCTTGCATATGGAGTTTCAAATCAATCTCTAGAGAGTTTGTTTAGTGAGAGTCAGTTCCCTTGGGTCTGATTACCCCTAAAGTCCCTATTAAAAAAAAAAAAAGCTTCTTCCTTGATAAACAATGTACTCATAGCATGTGAGTCACTATAAAACAACCAGGCTAGTTTTGCCCATCTATAGAACAAGGGTAAAAGACACAGGCAAATGAGGATAGAGGAGGAGGGAGAGCTTAAAAAAACACCATCTTGTCAAAGGCAGTGGAAAACTGAGAAGCAGTAACAGGTGTTGTGTCCCCCAGGCCATGAGGAATCAAAGCCTACAGGAACCCATCTCAGCTGTTGTTAAGTAAATCACTAACAACAGAATATGCCATGCTTCTTAGCCCCATTTTGAGTCTGTTTATGAAGGAGGAATCTAAATCAACTAGAACAAATTGGGGACGAGGTCCAATCAATTGAGTCTAAAGGAGAGAACAAGCCTTTGGTGAGGTATAAGTGAACCAAGTCCCTAATAAACAAACGAGTAATTAAAAGATCTGATTATATAGTAAAGGATGAGATGCTGACAAAATGAATGTACAGTATGATGATCACTGGTGGGCACACTGCATAGCTCTGAAATAAAGAGAATGCAGAGGTAAATTAAGATAGAGCTTTTAATAGCTTGAGTGTAGCATAACAATGATGCATGTGATTAGCCTATGCAAGGCCTTGGGTTCAATTCCTAGTACACAGAAAAAAACTATTCAAAATCATATATTGCTAGATATGGTGGCACAGGCTTGTAATTATAGAACTTGGTAGACTAAGACTGGAGAATCAAAAGTTTCAAGCTATATAGTAAAATCTTGTCACAAAATAGAAAAAACCAAAAATACATATTCATAGAACTTTTAAAAAAGAAACTGAACCAGGCAGGTGCCTGGAGTCTTGGCTACCTGGTGGGTTAAGGCTAGGAGAACTGATTGAACTCAGATTTTTAGGACCTATGGAGAAAAAGGAGTGATCAGCCTGGCAAACATAACAAGAACCCATCTCAAAAGCACTGTGTGTGTGTACTGAGGTTTGAACTCAGAGCTTGGTGCTTGCTAGGCAGGTGCTTTATTGTGTGAATAATGCTTCAGGCCTTTTGGTTCTGGTTATTTTTTTTTATAGGATTTGCTTTTATTTTGCCTGGACTGTCCTGGGCTGTAATCCTATTTACATTTCTTGTTTTATCTAGTATGACAAGTGCATGCCAACATGGTGTGGGGAGAGGGTTCTCATAGATATTTCTGAACATGCTGGGGCAGAAACAAAATTCTCCTGACTCTTGGACCCTCCAGATTCTTGCAAAGCTGCAATGACAGGCATACAATACCACTGTGCCCAGCTATCAAAAAATGTTTAATTGGGTTGGGAATGTAGCTTAGTGGTAGAGTGCTTGCCTAGCATGCATGAAGCCCTGGGTTCAATTCCTCAGAACCACATAAACAGAAAAAGCCAGAAGTGGGGCTATGGCTCAAGTGGTAGAATGCTAGCCTTCAGCACAGATTCAGGGACAGTGCTTAGGCCCTGAGTTCAAGCCCCAGGACTGGCCAAAAAAAAAAAAAAAGTTCAATTAGAAATAAATTATGCAAGCTGCAAGCTGGGCACTGGTGGTGGCTCATGCTTGTAATCCTAGCTACTTGGAGAATGAGATCTGAGGATCATGGTTTGAAGCCAGCCCTGACTGGAATATCAGTAAGACTCTTATCTTCAACTAACTTCCAAAAGAGCCAGAAGTAGAGTGGTGACTCAAGTGGAAGAACCCTAGACCTGAGCAAAAAGCTCAGGGACAGTTCCCAGGCCCTGAATTCAAGCCCCAGGACCAGCAGAAAAGAGAGAGAGAGAAAAAAAAAAAGAACTATGCAAAACACCTGAGTACCTAAAAACTTTAACTGTGGCTCCACATTTCAAAAATAAGCCTGCAGGCTGGGAAGGTGGCTCAGTGGTAGAGTGCTTGCCTTGCATACATGAGGCCCTGGTTCAATTCCTCAGCACCATATAAGCAGAAAAAGCCAGAAATGGCACTGGGGCTCAAGTGGTAGAGCAGCTAGCCTTGAGCTGAAGAGCTGAGGGGCAGCACCCAGGCCCAGAGTTCAGGCCTCACGACAGACAAAAACAAACAAATAAGCCTGCTACTATAAGGATAGAGTTAAGATATTAAGATGTGACTTAGAAGGGCCCACAATTAAACAATATACATTTTTACCAACTAAGTAACCTCAATTTTTAAAGCTAAGCATTCAAAATATTTTGCTTTTAGTAAACACAAAAGAGACACTTTCTTATAACTCATATTTTTGTTTCACTTTTGGAATTACAAGAAAAGAACATTTAGGACAAACATTTTTGTTTTGTTTTTTTTGGTCAGTCATAGGGCTTGAACTCTGGGCCTGAGCACTGTCTGTCAGCTCTTCAGCTCAGCACTAGTGCTTTACCACTTAAGCTACAGCACCACTTCCAGTTTTCAGGTGGTTTTTTGGAGTAAGAGTTTCACAGCTTTTCCTGCCCAGGCCGGTTTTGAACTGCAATCTTCAGATCTCAGCCTCCTGAATAGCTAGGATTACAGTTGTGAGCCACCAGCATCGGCTAGGACAAACATTTTAAAGGTACAAACTCTATTTTAATTAGGGATGAAAGTCTAAGTTTGAACATAGATGGAGAATAGGAATAGATTGTACATTAAAAATATGGTACTATCCTGAACGTGACTATAATTACATTATCTAGAAACAGTAAACAAATACTTTATAGTTAGCCCACTCTGTCCTGAGACAAAGAGGAAAAGAAAGGTGGATGTAAAAACAAAATACTTTAGATACACTTTCATTTCTCTTGGCAGACTTCCAAATAGAAGTAACATGATACTAGACAGTGATACAATTATAATTGGAATCAAAGAAAAAAAGGAATTTAGAATATCTTTTTTGATGGAAATGAAGATTACAGGATAAAAAATTAAGGTAGAGCTGGGGCACTGGCGGTTTACACCTGTAACCCTAACTACTCAGGAGGCTGAGCTCTGAGGATCACAGTTCAAAGCCAGCCTAGGCAAGAAAGTCCATAAAACTTCCTTCCTTTCTTTTTTCTCTTTTGCCAGTTCCAGGGCTTGAACTCAAGGCCTGGGCACTGTCCCTGAGCTTCTCTTGCTCAAGGCTAGCACTCTACCACCTGAACAACAGCACCACTTCCAGCTTTTTCTGTTTATGTGGCACTGAGGAATTAAACCCCAAAGCTTCATGCATACTAGGCAAACACTCTACCACTAAGCCACGTTCTCAGCCCCTGTGAGACTCTTATCTCCAATTAACCACCTGAAAACTGGAACTGGAGCTGTGTTTAAATATATTGTGCTAGCCTTGAGCAAAAGTAGCTCAGAGACAGTG